AGCTTCTAAATTACCTGAAAGGAAGAATTCCAAGGATACAAAATATCAGTCTTAAATTTTGTGAAGTGTCAGCTAGTTTTGTCTGGAAATAAGTGAGAGCTTAGTTAATATTTTCTGATTTTAAAGAATGAGTGATAACTGACCCATTATTATTTCATGGCTATGTTAGAGCAGCATCTGTCTCCCATTGTGCTGGTCATGTTGCAAAAAAAATGTATAAAATTATGGTTCCTGACTAAGGGAGCATAGGTTATTATTATATTTATTATGTTACAGGAAAATGAAACTAATAGAAAAGTAAAAAATGCCTGATATCCTTCCAGCTGTAATGCTGTTGCTTTCATCATAAGCCATTCCTGCTTTTCACTTTAAGAATTATGTAGAAATTGCAGGCCTTAAAGTCCAGAAATGAGTACAGGATATTAGTGTGAATCTTTTGCAAATGAAGAAACATTTCCAGCCATTACATCAGGACTACTGATCAGTCTTATAACTTTGATGTAATATTTTCTGTCTGTCTTACTGTATTGAAAGAGTTGTTCAAAGTACAGTGATGTGAAAATGTGGTGCCTTGAAATGCAGTTAAACGTCTTGAGATGTAAATTTGAAATATGAGACAGAGATTTATTTTGCTTGTCATGTCGTCTTTTTTATATATTAGAGAAGAAATTTGCCTTGACATAAATGAGCTTCAGTTGGTTTAATACCTACAGATTTCATTTGATTTAAAAAAAAAAAAAGTTTTTAGGATGAACCAAATGATTAAAACCAGTTGTTATGATGAGCCAAATGATTCAAGTTTTCATAAATGGGACAGTCTCAATAAAAATGGCATCATAATAATAATAAAAAAAGAAGCAATAACTAAGGGCTAGACTTAGATTGTACAGTGTCATATTTCTATTGAAGGCTCTGCAACCATGACAACAAACACAAACTGAAAATCTTGCCTTGCATACTTAAATATCATCCCCGTCTTTACTCGGACAAACCATCTTCAGGTTATGTTGTCAGTAGGCAATGGGAGTTTGCCTTGATTAAGGACTCTAAGGGTGCTTATAGAAGTTATTGATCAATCTGTAAATTTAAGCACTTTACACCGAGCACTTAAAGTTACAGTGTAATTAAAAGTAATCAGACATTTGGTGTTTGGTGGGGGCTCAGAGCCTCCATGCATGGGTTGAGGCCAGGAGGCAGGGGGCACTGTAGTCTGCTCTGGAAGCTTGGCAGCTGGGCCAGCTGGTGTCTCCAGGCTCCTCCCCTGTCTGTCCAGAGACACCAGCAGTTGGCCATGCTGCCAGAGATTCCCCTGTGTAGGGGGACTTTCTTGGGGGTGGACCCCTTGAGCGGTGCTATTGGGCACTGGGGACCCTTTCCCCAGGGGTGGGAGTGCTGACCAGGACCCTCCACCCCAATGGCTACACTCTCTCTCTCCCTCTGTGGCTGCACACGAGGAGACTCTCTGTCTCTTCCCTGTGGCAGACCCAGGGCATAATATGTAACCCGCATAGGGAACTGTATGCAAGTCCAGAAATGCGTACAGGATATCAATGTGAATTTTTTCCAAATGAAGAAACATTTCCAGCCATTAGAGCTCTAAATTAGAGCACCTTCATTTATTACCTGATTTAATAAGGGTTACTTTTTCACATGATTGGCCATTTAAAAAGTGCTCTATAGCCTCACACGTGTTATAATATGGCTGTAGTGCACTTTCAGGGGCCAGAGTGTGAGAAAATGTTACTTTTAGCTACACCCTAAAATTAGACCTGTTGTTTAGAACCTCATGACATGATCTAACAATAGCAGAAAAACAAATAAATTGCCCTAAGCCTAATTTGAATTAATCCAAAATTCTGTTTTTAAAAAAAAATGTGTAAGCTTCTCCCCATTGACATCTCTGGCAAACTCTCACTAACTTCGTTGGAACCTAGATTTAACATGCTGTGTAAAAACACTTCTATGCCTTTCCTAATATGCACACTTAGAGGACACTATCTTTCTCTTGAAGGGATAGTTTATATCTCTGATTTTCTGATAACGTAAGGAGGCATATTTTTTAATTTAATTTAAAATTTAATTTGTTATGGTTGCCTGAGAACATACCTCCCTCTCTGTAATTCCTTCAACATTTTAGCTTTGTCTTTTGGTTGTATCTTCTTATTCTAACATGACCTCTCTTATGCACACTTTATTTGTCTCCCATTAGCATTTTAAGTTCCCTCATTTTCTTCAAACCAGCATTTCAGCACACCTGTAATTTCTTATATAATCTGTTGCTGTTTAATAAATGTTTAATATATGCAGTACCATCCTATTGCTTCTGGTTATGAATAATCTCTTTAATTGTTGAATTTTGCTCTTTTGACTTTTATCATTCTAGACTATGGCCACAAAAGGGCATAGGTGTCTAAACATCTGCTAAAGGTGCCTTGAATCTAAAATTGTAATTCTCAAAACTCCCTGCTCAGTTGTCACCTAACTTTGAAAGTGTCCCTAGGTAGCTAAGTTTATTAAAGTTGCCCAGGGACCTAGATTTCTGTTTCTGGACAGGACACAGAAGTGCCTCAGTTTTGATGTTGCTACCAGCTTGACATATAAGTCGTACTTAAGTCTCAGTTAGATCCCACTGAGGATAAATTATGCAATGGTCTTGTGAGCCCTAAGCCATTGGTATTTAAAAAGTACTCATATCTCCAACCTTTGTAAAGTATTGAGAAGAGTGAAAAAGGGGTGGTCATATGTTAAAATTTAGAAATCAGAGGCTTTTAATTTTTCTCAAACATTTGAGCTAGGGACATAAATTACACATAAACTGGTATAAGTGATCAAAAACTGGTTCAAATCTGTAACACAACAGGGATAAGTACAGACAGTCAAAAAGTCTGAGGCTGAATCGATTCAGTCTTTGCAGGTTAGTCTAACATGTATAGATTAAATTAAAGCAGAAGTGAACAGACATTTACCTTTGACTCAGGAAATTCAGCCACATGCCTGCAGTGGCTCAAGCCAGAAGTACTTTGTGCTGCAGCATGGCTCTGGCTGTATGTTCACTTCCTCTTCCTGCTGCCCCTGAGGTTTCTGGGATTTGCAGTCCAGACTTACAGCAGCAGGACTCTGCAAGATTGCTCATCACTTCCTCTTTCTGCTTCCACGTGCCTCTGGGATTTGTAGTCCGTGGTCACGGCCAATAAGTTTGAGTGGGGAGAATGGGTGTTTAACCCCGCTCTCTGGCCCCTAGCCCCAGGCCCCAGTTGGGATTTGCCAAATGGCCAAAACTGGTTTAAGATAAATCTGGATGGATGTAGTATCAGACTTAACTGGTTTAGGTTAAATTGGTTTATTGAACTTCTGTCCCAGATCCCCTCCAGCTTCAAGTTAACTCACGGTCCTCCAGCATCCCAGAATGCTTTGCACCTCCTCCACAAACCACCCTCTCAGTGTCACTGGGCTAGCCTTGGCCCAAGCTGTCTGCTCCAGCAGAGCAGGGAGGCATGTTCTAGCACCCCCTGGCTTCTGGCTTGGCCACTGCAGGCATGTGGCTGCATTACTGGAATTAAAGGTGAATGTCTGTTCACTTATTTATCAGTTCAATATATGCAGCTTAGACTAACCTGCTAAGATTGATCGATTCAGCCTTGGGCTTTTTGATTATCTGTATGTAGTAGGGCTGTGTGAAGCTTTGGTCACTGATTCAATTTGGAGAAGATTCAGCCCAATTTGGCAGCTGAATCTCTGAATCAGATCAGAAGACTCTTTAATCTCTCTGAATCGAATCAGAAGACTCTGAATTGATTTGGAGAGATTCAACAATTCGGCCATAGACACAGTATTATATTTTTTTTTCTATGTATTATTTTTTCTACATAACTTGAGGTACCAGGCATGGCTTGTGAATGCTGAGATGGTGGTGCAGATGAAGCATCTTCTGGTCCACTTCCAGCTCTTCTGTGGAGTGTGCAGGGGACCCATCCACCCCCTGGCTTGGCAACTGGTGTCTCCTGGGTCTGGGGGGGACCAGGGGTCCCCCCCATGGCTGATCACTGAGCTGGGGGGGAAAGGGGAGGGCGGTCCCCCATATGTTCAGCAGCAGCCCTGAAAATGGACCAGAAATACTTCTGGTCCACTTCTGCGTCCACCACCAAGCATGTGGAGGACACCTCTGCACTCCTGTGGGACACTCCATCCACCCCACCATCTCAGCATTCACGAACCATGCCTGGGTACCTCAAGGTAGGTAGAAAAAATATATAAAGCTGTCTATGGCTGAATCGCTGATTCTCCAAAACAGAATCGAATCTTCAGATTCAGATTTGGCTGAATCGAATCAGGATAGTGATCCGAATCAGCAAATCAAATCACAGTCCCCTGAATAGGGCCAAATTTAAATCCAAATCAAATACTGCCAGCTTCGCACACCCCTAGTCTTGAAAACTAGATTGGTTTAGCTGTAAACCAAAAATTACATAATAAAGTGAGCAAGCATGATGGAGCTTTATAAAATTACAGCTCAGTTTAATAAAATATTTGTATAACTTTATAATATAAGTTGTGAGGTAAAGATGATTTCATGCACATAGGTTGTAATGAGCCCAAATCTTAAGAGTACAACTCTTAAGATCATACCATGTTGTTTCCCTGGTTCCTTCCTTTTCCAGTTTCTTGCCATGAACTGTTTCAGTCTTCAGGTGCTTTCTTATGTTGCATACCGATGCTTACAACCAATGCAAGAGAGCTATTTACATTCTTAACACTGTATAGAAGTGACCATTAGAAATGAAGTGCCATAAAGACATAATTAAAAAAATAGAATTTGCATGAGAAGTGAATTGCAAGATTTAATTGACGGGATATTGTTTTTGAGTACAATAACCACTGGCAACAGGTGGATTGTCTTGGACATATTGAAATTAAAAATCCTGCTAAGTGAGCAAGTTGACAGATGAAGATCAGCTATGAACAAGCTGAAAATGCAGTGTGAACTCTTGTTTGTGTTACAGAACCGTCCACTATGAAGGTGGTGCTGTGTCGATTCATGCTCGTTCCCTCTGGCGACTAGAGACTCTAAGAGTTGCGTAAGTAAGGAGTTTCTTAGAGAAATAAATATCATACGGTTAACTGCTATTGCTACAAGTTTATGGTTGATTTTAGTAGGTAAATGTCAGAGCTCCCGTGACTTAAGTGACAGGAGAATAAGTCCCCAAACCAGCAGCGCAATAAGGCTATATCTGCACTGCAAATTTACCAGGCCCAGGCAGCAGAGTCCTCAAAAATGATGCACATGCCCCTTCCTGGCCTGGAAGCAGAGTAACCATGTTTGTGCACTGCTGGGCACAGGAGAATTGGCTATGTTCTCTTATCAGTATTAAGCAGCCTTCTCTCAGGGCTTTGTGAATCCATCTACAGTGTTTTCAAGTGAAGGCAGGTGGTAACCTATTGGGAGGAGCATAGGGTGCTGCTGCCTGACAGATTAGATTGTGGTGAGAACTAAGGGTGAGCATAGGAACTATGATTTAGCAAATGGATAGTCGCTTTGACTTGTGTACTTAAAGTTAGCACCATACCTCAGTACCTTCCTGAATCACAGCCATGGTCTAACCTTTCAATATGAGAATAGTGTGTGTGTGTGTGTGTGTGAGATTCTGTAATCATTTACTGTTACGAACAGTTTCCTCATTGTGATAACTAATAAAACCAGATATTATGCTACTTTATTTTCTCCCTATATTGGACTTGTTGATGGATAAAAAAACCCCCAAAACAAAAACTAACTCAAGTACTCCTTCATGTTTTTGATTTATTTTAAATGTATTCAGATTTTTATAAAGATAACCTTATTCAAGTTCTTACGTTACCCAACTACACAACACTGAGTTTGGAGTCAAGTCATTTAAATGAAAAAGAAGCAAATTCATTAGAAAAAGTCTGAATCATAAAAAAATAAAATTGCAAAATGAATGATGTAAAATTGGAGTGTTAGCCAGGTCTTGTGCCTTATATACCCATGACAGTAATAATCAGGAATGTCCTTTAAAGTTTGACTCGGTTAAATTTTATTACAGCTTTGTGTTTGTGATAAAATTCTGAGTGACAAATAAATATTTTTAGAAACAAATGGTAGCAGCTACGGGGAAAGGTTACACTCTAATGATGCTGTTCTCTGTGTGTGTGTGTGTGTGTGTGTGTGTGTAATTTAATGGGATAATGTTAAAAGACATTGACAGGACAATGGAGAAGTTTTTTTTTTTCCCTTTAGTTGCCTTTGCACCAAAATTGACCTTGAGCATAATGAGTGACACCAATACAACAAACAGTAGAAAAATTTCTGCCTGCTTTGCTCTTATTCATGTTTCACTGTCAATGCGTGTGTCGTCTGGCACAAGAGCAGTGGATTATGTTAGGATTTGAAAAGCTACAGGCTTCTGTTAAGACTGTCATATATCTGCAGCTCAACAGGCAGCATGTATACAGACTATGGGTTTAACCTTCTGAAGATATGTGACCAAAGACAAATTGTCAGAAGAGTCTGTCATACAAGTCAGCACTGACAGGAGTAGTCTTTTGTTACAAGTAATGTTACTGTTACCAAAAGCTTAAACTTCTTACAATAATGTGGATATACCATTTTGTAAGCAAAGACTTTGAGCAAAATTACAAATTACAAATCAATTTAATTTCTTAAATCCCAGTGCTAACTTTTTCTCTAAAATTTGTTGTGCGGAAAGACGAATGAATGTGCATCACGGATCGGAAATAAATTTTGAAGGTTTTGAGTTTGACATGCATTTTGCCAGTCAGTCTAAACAGTAGGTACAGACAGATGCAATAATTGTATTCATCTCAAAAGATACGAGTCAAACTTACATTTGCACATTCTTGCACTGACACAAGTAGAGCAAAACTGTTGTAACTTTAACCCTTTTTCAGGATGACAGTGATTTAGCTGGCTTGCATTGCTACAGGAGTATGTAGACATAAGCATTACATTGTTACAGCTCATACAGACTCCTATATGGCAGCTTCCCTCCCCCCTTAAGTCACTTAAATGTTGCATTTGTCCATAGCCTTTTAGCAAGTTCTATTACTTATGTTACAGATCAGCTATATGGTTCTGCTATTCTCTGGTCTTCAGTGTCTCAGGTAGGTCAGGTTAAGAAGAAAATAAGCTAGAACAGTCTGAGTCTGCTATAAATTAGAGCATGGGCAAGGTAAACCCTTAATGTTGGTGCAAAACTGTTAAGCCATCTTTACCTTTTTGGCCTACCTGCAGAAATACAGTAACTGTGAATCAGACTCTGGCTCTTTACATGATTGATTAATGGAATATCCATGTTGGCTTACAAATGTGTGTTTTTGGTGTGCTTTCTGTGTCTCATAAAAATGAAGAAAGGAAGTGCATTTAGGAAATGTATATGCCTTCTCTCTTCCCACCAGAACACCACATTGAAAAAGAGTCTAATGTCCTTATTATGTGCCACTTAAGAGAAGATAATAGATGAGAGAGAAAAAAATGTGGTATCTTTAGCTTGTTTAAAAATAACAGCTAAAACTTCCAGAAATCTTATTCCAGAACCAAAAAATTCCAGAAATTGAGCCTGAAATTTACTAGGCTTAGTTGCTAACCAGAAACCAGCTTGTAACACTTACATTTGAAAAAACATGCCAAATGTGTTTTTAAGGTTTTCTCTCTCGCATACTCGCACACACATACACCCAGTACTTATGAAGTTGTACTTAAACAAATAGATATTTTACTTGATCAAATAAAAACATAAAAGTGTTATATGTAACCTACAGTGAAAATGACTTAGTGATATGCCTTGTGCAGGACTTAGGCTGGTGTATAAATATAATAATATAGGGCATGTACAGACATTACACTTAGACTGGTCTAAGTGAATATAGATCAATCTAAACCCATAACCATGCAGAAGTTTGGCACACACAAACTAGTCTAAAAATGGTGCAAGTGGTCTAAGATAGACCTGGTATGAGATGCTCAGTTTGGATCAATTTTTGTTAAACCAGTGCTTTGAGCTTCTGTATTGTTTTCCTATCAATTCAAGTTTACATTGCTGTCCTCTGGCATCCCAGACTGTTTTGCACCCCACAAACCCTCCCTTTTAGGGAGGTGCACTAGGACTCAGCCCAGCCTTGGGCACACCCCCATGGACCCTGACCCTGGCATCCTGCCATGCCCCCATGCTCAAACACAGCCATCTTAACCCTGACACTCACAGAGCAGCCATTTAGCTCAGTGAGTTACAGTTTAGTACTAGTAACACCAAGGTCACAGATTTGATCCCTAGCTGCACTAGATAATCTCTTGAGGTCCCTTCCTGTTTTGCTATGATATCATCTCAGAGGCTAGGTCCTGTGACCTGGACCCCAACATAAACATCCCCCCCTCTCCTAAATGGGAGCTGGTGCAGGTGGCTCACCCATGGCTCTCCAGTTGGGGAGCTGGGGGACAGAACATTGGGACAGAGTCTGCATGTAGGCAACCCTGTGACATGTCACTCACCGCTGGCAGATCACTGCTGGCAGGTACCCAGGCCATGTACACTTAAATTGCTGTAAGGCTTTTTTGGCCCACAGCTACAGGGTCCTGAAATACTAGGGCTGGGGCAGTGCGGGGGGCACTGTGCATGCAGGCTGGCACAAGCAGGCAGATGCCCCTGGAATCTTCAGGAGTAAGTGGGGCATAGCCAGCTGCCTTGTTACAGGTAGATGAAAGTGGAAATTTCCAAGTTGGTGTGTGGGGTATTGCATCATAGGGGTGTCTGTTGGAAGCCCTTGGAAAACTTTACATCACAGTGATAGCATGGCTAGTGAAGCCCTGGTCACTCATGGTGCGGGGGCCACACCCAGCTGGAATGGGAGGCAGAGCTAAGCACTGGGATGTGTATCTACATGCACCCACCATTCCATCCACCTATCCACCATCTCGCAGCCAGACCCTTACCCACCTGCAGACATTGGTGCCCCGTGGGCACTACCACAGACCATGGAAGAACCCATCCCATCCTCCTTCACTACCCACCCCAATCACAAAATTGGGACTATAGGGATTTGATGGATCTCGCTGTCATCTGGGGAGAGGAGAGACCCATTACCAGCTCCACAAAGAGCACCACAGAAGGGATGTGTTCAAGTGCATTGCTCAACAGATACAAGTGTGGGCCCACAATGGGGACTGGGTGCAGTGCCAGGCCAAGATGAAATGGATTAAGACCCAATACAAGCGCCTGCATGATGCCGATATAAAGTCTGGAGCCAAGAGTATGTCCACTTCCTCACCTGAATAGGGCTATTCTCACCCTGTTCTCATATGACACAACTGGGGGAGTGGAGGACTTGCTAGAAGGGACTTCACTACAGGAGGAGGTGCAGGAAGGCTCTGGGACAATGGGACTACTGGGTGCCCAGGAGCAGAGCTCAAGTTCCACTGGTGGCAGTGGCCCCCAAGGACTAGCCCAATGGTGTTGGTCCCCAGATCACCACAGGACCTGGGAGTGGAGTTGCAGCTGTACCTGAGCTCCCTTGACATCTCTGGCATTGTCTAGAGCACAGTGTGCAGTAGCAAGGGGAAAGCTCTGATGCCACAGAAGTTGAGGCTTAGGACCTGGAGTCTGAGGCTGTGGCTTCCACCTCACAGGAGTGCCTCCCTGGTCCTTGACCCAACACACCATGGCCAAACATGTAGCCTTCGGGACATCATTCCCAGTACAGCTTCCATGGGCGTTCCACTCCCACTCCTCTGACACCTCACTGTCCCCTTCCAGATGTGCAGAGTGCCCCCAGCCTTGTTGTCCCCAAAGGACAGTGAGTTCGTGCCCGGTGCGCTTGTGCCAATAAACACACAGGGGTGAAGGATCCAACTTAACCTTTATTTCCTGCGCAGAAAGTGGTGCTTGGCAATCGTTTGCAAAGCAAGCACACCCACCCCAGTGGGCGTCTGCCTTATATAGCTACGTAACAGGTTAAACCTGCTGATGTGATGACATGTATAGCAAGCCCAGCAAGTAACCCTCCCTCCAGCTCCCCCCCAAGTAACTCCCCTTTCAGCTCCGGA